CTGAAGAATTGAAAAGAAATCCCATAAAATATTTTTACACAGAACAGCTGCATGTCTAGTCTCTTTAGCTTTATGTTAATTTCTAGCAAGTAGCTTCAAATTTCTCAGTGCAAGATTCTTGTTCTTTCTGCTATTCTGTAAAACTCCTCTTTTAAGCCCAGGCACCAACACGTTGCTCTCTTTCCTCCTCTTTCCCCATAAAACTGCATCAGACAGATTATATTTGTTCAGCAAGACAGCTAAAGTCACTGCCTTTCAAACTTGTGCGATGTATTACATTCTCCTACTTGACTCTCATTTTAAATAAAACTTTGTTCTTCATCTACTCAGAGACCAGGAAGGGGACAATTTGGCTGCAAAAGGACATACTCTGGGATAAAACGGGGGTGGGGGGTGGGGGGGCTTGTGGAATGGGGACAGCTCCACATCTGAGTTTCCATTCAACTTCATCCTCCATCGTTTGGGGTTTTTTGGGTCTAGCAGTAATCCAAGCAGCTCGTTTTGACAGATTTAGAGTGTTTCATACAGTAATTGGAATCTCACTGCTTTAATGTCTTCATTCAAACAGTTTCTCTGATCATGGCACTGAAAACGAAGTCTTAAGCTATACATAGCTTTATGTGAAAAAAAGGAGGTTTATGTGATTATGGTAATAGTTCATAAAATCTAGCAGACAAAGAATAATTTAGAATTCATTTATTCATAACAGCAGAAGTTAATATTCTTCTTGCCTACAAAAGAGTTTCAGACATTAATCTTTTCTCCTGGATATCTGCTATTCTGCAGAGCTAGTTTGGATTGCTTCAGTATTACACATGCTCTAACTTCTTTTTCTGTCCTTTTTAGTCTCGTCAAAATACTGTTTTTCCTTAAATAAATAATGCTGATTCCATGAAGATGGTATCAAAAGCTGTCTTCCAACTTTCCTGCAGATTTATGTAAATATTTGAACAGAACACTGAATTCTGGTCTCTGTTTTGCAGCTAAGCATTTTAGTGATACAGAATAAATCACTTCCATGCAACCGAAGATTTAAGATTTAAGCAACTTAGCATATCCTTTCATAATTTGAGAGTTTCTTGTTAATGGTGCATTTGCTTTGGGAACAGGGGAATAGTGTTTGTGCATGTCTGTTTATATATGTTAATTATATTATTTCAGTAGGATACTGCTTTTTCCTTTCTTTTCTTTTCTTTTCTTTTTTTTTTTTTCCTGATGATCCTCCTAAATTTCTTTACTGTCTGTCTTATCTAAGATGCTTCAAACCTCCCTAAATGTAATTTTAAACTAAGCTCATAAAAAGTTGGTAACAGCTTCAAATACTTAACTAGTTACTTGGGACCAAACTGTATGCTCCCTTGGCCTGACTTTGTCGAAAGCTTGCAGTTGAAAGCAGAAAAAATTTGGCATGTAGCCATGAGAGAATTGAAGACCAAAGAGCATAGGCACAGTGATTCAGATTAATCTCTGTATTAACTTACTGAAGCAATACATCTGGAAGATATTAAAACAATTTTGCTGTGTGATCTGTCAGTTATGTGCTATCATTCTAAGGAGTGGCTCTTTAAAGCCCTGTCCTCCAGGTTAACTGAATTTTGCGACGGCGAATTGACAGGTCACAGGAGATGCTTTTCCTTAGAGGTGTCTGTGGGGGGAATCTGTGGCTTTTGGTGTTAGGCCCAATGCCTTTTCATGGTTTTATCAGGGAGCTGAAAATACAGGAAAAATTGCTGTTAATAAAATTTGTGGATGACAACAGGAACAGAGATCTGCTAGAGAAATACGAGTATAGAGAAGGGAGGAAACTTCAGAAGAACAGCAGTCTGGCCATTTGCCTTTTTCTTAATAAGGCGTCTTGGCTAATAAGAATTCCTGACCATACATGCCTCTGTGTGTGTGCGTGCACGCACAAGGATGGAAATAACATAGTTCTCTTTTTTCTTAAACATTGGTGACCTCTGGTGAGCTTCTTGCAATGCTCACTCTACCTGTGATGTGCATAGCTGGAGAGAGGGCTTTGTTCTTTGGGTCAGATGGGGGTTGGATGAGACCACCTGTTTGGGCCATCCAGATCCACAGGATCCCCACCTTCCCTGGCAATCTCTGCAGTTTTGGAAACTTGGCTGGTTTGAGCTCTTTTTGTTTATGGCTTTGTTGAGTTTATGGCTGGGGAGCATTGCCCTAAGAGCTTTAAGGGAAGTGACCTTTTGGTTTATTCATTGTCACATGCAGACTGTGAGGAGCGGAAACAAATAAGCTGTTGGCATCACAGAACCAATATGAAGTGGTTTTGAGTTGCAGGCCAAAAAAAAAGAGGTGAACTCCTGACCTTGAAATTTATGGGCACTTGGCTACTCACTCTAAGAGAGTATTGCCTTCTTTCTGGGTTCTTCAGCTTCACCTAATCACCTAAAGCTAGGTATACATTTTTCAATTTTAAAAATAGTCATATGCTGTAACTAAAAGGGGAAGAAAAGTTCAGTTCCAAAAATACACTCTGTCACAGAAAAGAGACACCTTTCCAGAATATAACAAAAACCCCACTAACAACATGCACATCTGCCCCCCACATCATCATTCCTGTGATGACAGCTAGTGCCTCATTTCTTCCCTGCTTTCCTTGCCCAGCCAGTGAGAGTGGCATACCTGCTGGGGCAGCCCCAAAACAGGCCACCTGCAACAAGGAAAGAGGAAACAATTCATTGGAGTGATCAGCACTTGTCTAAAAGGCAGAAACAGCACTGCTAGCAATCGTTTGTCTGAGGTTTACTTTGGCATCCTTAGTCTCTGCCCCTGGCTCATCCGGAGCAAGTGGTGCTGAAGAACTGGTGCACTGCACGGCTGTGCCAGGGCTGTGGCACTGTTGTCACCACGGCAGGGCAGGATGCCAGGCCGTGTTCCCCAGCAGCAGCAGGAGGTGGCACCAGGCACTTTTTTGCCATTTCACCCTTGCCCCACAGAAGCCTCTCAAGGCTGACAGCTGTCCGATGCCCTTTGCACAAGACCTGCCAAGGGGCAAACGAGTTTCTCTGGGTGGCAATGTAATTGGTGAAGAATTATGGTCAGTCCAATAGAAAGACCAAAGGCCATGCAGAAGTGCAGAGGCGGTGAGCATGCAGCAGTATCTGTAAGGTTTTCCTCCTGGAATGGGTAGGACTTGGCCAAGCTCACCCCGCTGCTGTGGGTTTGCTGCGACTAACAGCAAGACTGGAAAGTACATGCCTGTTAATTAGTGGTGAGAATAAAATATTTCTGAAATAAGACATATTTATACATGGCTCAACGTTGCTAAGCACAGCTTAAGGAAAATAAATATATCAACCAATGAAGGCACATTAATTTAATCTTACATGGGCCACAAAGATGAAATGCCTTTTTTAACAATGTGCTATCACAGTGCCCCTACAAACACGGTACGACTGCCAGGGTGCAAGCTGAGCTTTATTGCTGGGCTGAACTTCCCAGATCCAATTTCCAGCTACTTTAAGTTTGTTAGCTTATGAGTGGAAAACTGTGTTTCTCAAAGTTTTTTCACAAGTGATGTGTGTTTTTTCTCTCCCCCTTCCCACCCCACCCCACTTTTTGGAGTTACTGATTTCCTGGTGACCCCCAAAGGCAAGTGGGCACATCTGCTAGCCAGGGCACAAGCACGCTGGTAGCAGATCAGCTCCTCAAAGAAGGAGGAGCAAGGACTGGCTGCATTTATTAGTTATAGGGATAAATGCCCCTTCCCTTTTGAGTACATGTCCCAGTACAGGTGACATTTCCAGTGTGTGATGGCTATGTTAGCTGAAGAGTGTAAGGTATTTGGTTTTTTGTCCCACAGTGGGCTGAAGGTCCAATACCCCCTCCCAAGGGATTTGGACCACCACATCTCTGGTGGCACGAGGTTGTCCCCCGCTCTTCTCCCAGCCCCCCCAGCCCCCACCTCCTGAGGTGACAATAGGCCAGCAAGGTACAAGGGGTGGCTCTGAGTGCCCACTGCCTCCAGGACAGCAGGGAAAGTGCCAGCACCACCACCATCACCACCGGCTCACGCAGGTGAGCTGGGCCCACACCTCCCGAGGAGGGAGGGAAGGGTCCTGGGAGGGAAGGGTCCTGGGAGGGCCCCCAGCAAGGACCCCTGGAGCCCCCTGCTGCCCCTTTCATGTTCGCAGCACACAGCCTCCCTGGTACAAGCCTGCTGGATTTTTGCTCTAGAGAGGTGCAGACCCATACAAGATTTATGTTAAATGACAGCCTGCAAACAACTTTGAGACCTGGAGCCCCTAGGTGAAGCACAGAGCTGTAGGAGAGGCTGGGTATTTCAAAAGGATTCAAGTGTGTCTCACAAGCAGCATGAATTGGCTGCTTGAGTTGTGGTGGACTGATTTACAGTCCGAGCGATGGCTTTTATGTTCTCAGAGATCCCTGATACCTGATTGCACTGGTCTAAGTCGATCAGTAGTGGAAAATTTACTGATGTTGGGAGGAGGACAACCTAATTCAGGGAGCAGTTCAGGGGATGAAGTGTGATGGGTAAAGAAGGGGACAACTCCTTGGTGACTACTTGCAAGAAGGCCGGTGAGATTCAGGCACTTATCTGGGGCCTGGAAGACAAATCTGGAATCTTTGTCATCAAATAGCAGGCAAAGCATAAATCAGCTCACAAATGCATCCATTTGTTATTGAGAAAATCTAACTGAAACTTGTATTTCAAAAAGGTTCAGAAGCTTTGGATGCTTTGTTCCTTCACATGCAGCAGTCATTAATTCACCCCAGAGCCCTACCTCCACCCCTCCTTTGCCTTGCCTTGGGTCCCAACCTGTCCCTGCCCAATCCTGCCTGGATCCCAGGTGTTCTCTGTCAATAGCTGTGTGGTCATCATGGTTGTCCCATGGTAGAGAGATACCTGTGGGTGGTGCCCCTTGCTCTTCTGGAGACAAGGTGCATAGGACATGTGTGTTCAGCAGCTGCAGATGGTCCTCAGCTCCTTCCCTGCCAACTTCTTTTCTCCACAGCAGCAAGATGTCAGAGGTAGAAAATACTTTCCGTAAATTTGCAATATATGGTGACACATCTGCCAGTGGCAACGACATGACGGGGAAAAACTTCTCCAAGATGTGCAAAGAGTGTGGCGTGATGGATGGGAAAGCCGTGACCAGCACTGACATTGACATCGTATTCAACAAAGTCAAGTGAGTGTCGCAGGGAGGCATGGTGGGCAGCACAGCCGGGCAGGAGGAAGGAAAGGCAGGAGGCAGGCAGGCTCTCGCGCGAGGGGCAGCCCTGGGAGTTTCCCATCCTGCTGCCACCCAGCGGCGAGGTAACTTTCCTCTTGGTCTCCCCTTGCCATAGGACTAAGGGTGCCCGCACCATCACCTTTGCTGAATTCCAGCAAGCCATGAAGGAGCTCTGTGGCAAGCGCTTCAAGGGCAAATCGCCAGAGGAAGCGCTGCAGGCTGTGTATGGCCTCATTGAGGGGAAGGAGCCCGGCAGCGTGGGTGCCACGGTCAGTATGAGTTCCCTCACCCGCTGTGCACCTTGAGCTGCCTAAGCTGCCATGGAACCATCCCTGCTGTAGGGGGCCCTCCTTGCTCGTAGGGAGGAGATTGTTTGTAAACTGTTTGCTAACACTGGCTGCTTCTTGCTGGCCTCCTCTCTTGCAGAAAGCCACCAAAGTTGGTGGGGTCGAGAGGCTGACGGACACTAGCAAATACACTGGCAGCCACAAAGAGCGTTTTGATGAAAGTGGCAAAGGGAAGGGTCTTGCTGGGCGCCAGGATCTGACAGACAACAGCGGCTACGTTGGAGCCTACAAGGGAGCTGGCACGTATGACCAGAAGCACTAGGACTGAAACTGCTTAAGGAAACAAGGACTTTTCCCCTATAACATAGGAGGAGAAGCAAATAAACATTTCATGCAACCAGCCTTCTGTGTCTGTGCATCCCAAATCCGATAGGGTGGGAATGCATAGGGTGGGCACTGGATGACTCCAAAGAGTGGTGCAGGTTCCCCATCCGACCATACTTTGATTGCTGTGTGGTGGGGTTAAATCCAAGCACAAGCTAGCCTTCTGGAGGAAATTCTATGGGCCAGCTAGTCCACTGCCATCACACTGCTTTGCATTTCCAATCAAGCAAACAGTAGGTTGGTCTCTAAATAGTCACTCAGTATTTTTATTCTCTCCTCCCAACACGCAATACTTTTTGCTATGATTTTTGACTTGGGGAGCAGTGTGTGCATGTTTTTGTATAGCTACACTGGGTTACATTTGAGTTGATGGTTTCTGGTGGCAGACAGCCCACCAGTGGTACCAGACCACACCTTGAAGAGCACTGTTACAGGGCATAGGGTGCAACATGTACCACACTGTGAAGAGGGAAGGGGTACCAATAACACCAGTTCCTCCTTTTTGCTTTCCCCTTCCCCCAGGTTAAACCCTCTCACCCGTTCCTAGCACTTGGCATGGTCACTCATTACTATTTCCCCAGGCTTCAGGATGCTGGCAGCTGGGGAAGAGTTTGTGAGCCTGAGGAAAGCAAATAAAGAGCTGTGGTGCGGGGGATCAGGAAGGAGGGAAGGACTGTGTGGAGCATAGCAGGCCCTCTGTACTCAGGAGGACGGTTTGCAAGCTCTGCCTGCACCCAAATCCTTTCCCCCACTCCTCTCTCTTTTCCCCCCTCTGCCTCCCAGCCCTACCACTGTGGTGGCTTACGAGGTCTCTAGTGCTGACAAGACCTAAAATCACATGTGCACTTGTTCTTTCCCCCTGGCATTTTGGCAGGCTGATAGGACTAGCATGTCCCTTGTCCCTGCTACTGCGTCTGTGGCTGTGTGGCCAGTTTTGGGGTGCCAGTGTGGGCACCCATCCAAGACACACTGCTGGGTGGCAGAGAGCTGTGAGGCGCTCCTTGGGTATGTGACTGGCTCTCAGCCCACCAGGGCTGCCTTCCCTGCTGAGGACTTTCAGTCTCCTAGATTTAGCATAACTGAGCATTTAGGTATAACTGAAACAGCACATTTGGGACAGTTTCCCCTGACATTATAGAGAATTACTTAGCTGTGCTATTCCAGTCCTACAAGCCCTCACCATGGGCCATGATATAGGTACTGAAGGCACAACACTTGCTCAGAGCACATTGCCCTTTGCCCCATAGCACTCACTAATGTCCTCCTTGCTGCCTTAACCCCAGATAACGTAGCAGTTGGGTGGATCTGGGAATTAACAAATCCCACTCATTCACTCACTCACTCTTACGCTGTCCTTATACACCAATGACATTTTAAGCTACTTTAAAAATGATCCATTATGCCCCTGGGTAACTCAAGTGTGTAAAGTTGTTTGGTGACTCTGGGATATGTGGCAGAAAGTCCTACATAAAAGTGAGCAGGTACATTGGGCATAATTGGCAGGGTCTTGGTAGCTGGGGACTGCAGGGGTGACCTGGGAGGAGAACGTCACAGACCACCCTGTGCTGGCCCACAGCCTGAGCAGGGCTGGAGCAGAGATGCCACCAGCAAGTACTGTAGCAAAGAAACCCCCTGAGCAGGGGCAGGCACACAGAAGACACTGGAGGAGGTATGACTCTAGAGGGACTGCGGCTGGTGGAGAAGGCCACACCAGAGCAGTGCAATGAGAAACAAGGATCAACAAAAGAAGAGGAACCACAGCGGCTGACCCCAATCTCCTGTGCCGTCCATGGCCTCCTCAAAGGCACTGTGGGGATGGGACACCAGGAAGTGGGCAGGAGAGGTGTCTGGGGGAAAGCCGATGTATTTCCCCTAAGTGTTTGTTTAATTGCTTGTCTTTATTTCTCAATATCAAAGAACTGATAATTTAAGGTTTATGTTAGTTGGCAATAAATAAACTGTGAAATTCAGACTCAGGACTGCTTCTTTGCCCAAGACAGTAGGAACGGGATAAAGTAAAATGGAAAGAATAGCACTGGAACATATGTAAAAAAAATAGGCCTTGTGCCTGCTTTTTAATTTTTTGTATACCTCAGATCTTTAAAACACATACTCAGGGCGGCTGTCCTCAGCAATGCTGTCTTGGTACGTCATGTCCTGTACAACAGTTTAATCAAGTAGCTGTAAATTAAGAGGTAACAGGATGTCGTACAAAAAAGAAAAGCCAATGCACTCAATAAAACAATGACAGAACATTCTCACATAGCTCTGGTTTTGGTCACATAGCATTCCTTATTTAAATACTGTCAGCAGGTAATTGCAACAAATATTAATATTTCAGAGCTATGATTGCTATTCCTGATGCTTTCTCTTATTAGTTTCTGAAGTGGCTCTATTCATCCCGTTGCTCTTGAGACGCTCCTGCAAAAACATGGCTGAGAGGCTGCAGGACTGTATGACAGTGCCCCAGACCTGGACACAGCTCTTTTACTGTTTTCTGTGCTTTGGTGTATAAGTCATAGTCCCCTGGCCTTCCCAGGATGAAGGACCGATTGATTTCTTCCCCACAACATAGCACTATGTGGGGTGCATAGCTGGTGCATGTTACAGTGTAATCAAAGATACGGATTTGAGCTTCTCCCAGTATTTTCCACACCCCCTCACCCCCAAACGCTTATTAACGCATAGTGGGTAGTAATCAGCAGGGTCCTGCTGATGCTTGGTGGCCAAGCAGAAAGGCATACCGGCTTCATGGGCCCAGCAGCGTACCACCACCAAATAATGCAGTTTTCAAGCAAAAGATGTACATACCAGCAGTCTCACAGCTGTATCCGTGTCCAGGTTTGGTGTGGCGTATGATATCTCCATTCCTTCTAGCTGCACTTCAAACACCTTGGAACCTTTTAATTTTGGGGGAAAGGAAGACAAGGACTGCCCTCAATAACCAAGCAAACCTTGAGTGTATTTCTTTATTCAGGCTTCAGCCTCCTTGCAATTAAATGACTCAAGAAATTGCCCACATACAGTTCTTCAAACAAACACAAGAATGTGTTGCATTATTAGTTTCTTATATATATACATATATATATAACTGGCATGGAAAAAGCTGTGGGAGCTTTGGGAACAAACTGAGAGCTTTGTGCTTGTGTAGTGTGAGTTCTGGTTTGCATTAACTTGGGTACAATGTGACACTGGAGAGTGAATTTCTGAGACATGATTCAGTCTGTACTTCATCCTGTAATCTAACTTGTGTAGTGCTCCAGCACCAACAAGAATCACTACTTGTCCTGCCTATTCCTTATAAGTAGGAACCACAAAAAAAATGAGGAATGCCATGCTCACTCCCTACGGCAGCTACAGAATGGACAGATAAAAAGGAAGTCACGGTTGACTGAAGAGTTTAAAAATAGTACCTAATTGCTGCATGTCCTTGGGGGAGCAGTAATACCAGTGAGTATAAGATTTTAAAATAGCCAAAGACATGCATGTATCAATGACAGAGTCAGCAACACATTTGCAAAAGAAAAAAAAAAAAAAAAAAAAAAAAAAAAAAAAAAAAAAAAAAGAAAGAGTTTATGCTCTAAGAGTTTATGCTCTAGTGCATTGGGACCCTGCAAAAATTGAGGTGGCTCTCCAGTGTAAAGGTGTGGGGGGGGGTCCTGTTACACCACTGCCATCTGATACTAAATATCTGTACCATTTTGTATTTGCTCTCTTAAAGAGGCCATATTATCTAGAAAACCAGCCATACTGAGAAGAAGAGGTGAGGAACCTTCCACTCGGCAGTGGCTGATGTTTATTGCGCATCACTTCTCTGCGCTGTCCTTTGTCAGAGGGAGCATGAGGGCTTTGGGAGAGGGCTGGCTGCTGGTGCTCCTGTTGCCATTTAAGCACGTGTTTGCATAGTAGTCAGAAGAACGAGGCCCATGGAAGCTGCTAGAAGAGAAATGTAGCTGCATGCATATAAACATCTCAGTTTGGGGGATTTACTGGCAACAGTGGAAATCTTGCTGAAACAAAACGACATTGATAATCCATGTTTACACCCAGCTATGGCTACGATGTGTCATTACTGCGGAAAAATAGGGAAGCATTGGCTCCAAATTACGTATCTGTTGGGGAAAAGAAACATCAAACCAAGCCAAACAGCCAATTTACAACTACTCCAAAGTAGAGTGGAAAAAATAACCCTAAGTCCTGCTTTTTGGCAAGCTCAGTGAGCTTGTTTCTCTCATGCGTCTCTTGATGTAACCCTGCCCCCACCCCACTGTTCCCTTCCATGCACTTTCCTTGCTATCTTCTAGACTCAAGACCAACATTAGCAATTCTTTGCCAGCTGGTCATTGCTTCAGGATACTCGAGGTGGGACCTGATACACCAGTCAGATAGAAATCACTTGATAACATTGATGAAATCTGCACACAAATTAGAACAAGATCTGAAGATACGGCTACAGTGGCTGTGCAGTAAGAACTAAGGCAGTAGGACAGGGCATTATCAAATAGGTAGGAAAAAATGACGAGAAACTACACACGTGTGTGTGCATGTGTGTGTGTAATGTTTTTAAAGCAAAGTCTTCAAACCGTGCAAAAGACAGCTATAAAAGGACTCTTCTACCTACTCTGATGCTCAGGCATGCAGTTACAGTCTTGGCACTCTTGCCGTTGCTGAAACTGGCACAATTTCACTTTAACAAAGCAGCAAGAAGAAAGAACCAAAGTTGATGTCAATGCAGCCACTGGCTGGTGGCAATGCAGCAGGATAGACAAGCAAGTATCCTTGCAAAGTAATGCTTGCTCTGCAGCATGTGCTGATGGCTCACGCTATTTTCTGTGGTATCGAATCCTTCTTTACAAAGTTGCTTCTATTTTTTTTTTGTTGCAGGTTGTATTTCTAACCTGACAGAGGCATGGGGAGCCTGGCACGCGGCTTACCGACCTGCTGTCACACAGGGCCTGCCAGGTGGGCAGCTGTAGCTGCACCGTGTGGCAGTGGGACTCCTCCATGAGCACTT